TATATATATATATATATATATATATATATATATATATATATATATATATATATAAAAACGAATCCAAGGGAAAAAACAATATAAATTTCAAAACATGTTAATTGCACAGTATTATATATAATGGTTATGCTTTTTAATATATACAGATTACAAAAATAACGGAATCTATTATTTTATATTATAATTGTTTTATCGTTTCTACATATTTATTTAATTATCTTATGGGTATTCGTTTACGTGTGGATGCGCATAATTATGTTAATGGTATACAATGCTCTTTCAACATGATAAATAAAACACTAAAAAAGTGGAAATTATTTATAAATCGATGCAACTCATATTATTAATAATAAAACTTTAAGGAGGGCGAAGACATATCATATCGTTGGAAAGGCTGGGTCGTGCCACACCTCAAGTACATCATCCCATTGGTTAAAAAAAAAGAATACGTGTTGCCGCAAACCATGTTATGTGCGTAACAAAACTCTGTCCAACCCTTAGTCAACAACATATACATTTTTCCATGTTTTTGGCGCGAAGATACCGCAACTTGAAAATGATTTCCCTCCTCGTATCGAATATTGATAGTAGACAATTCGGTCAACCGTGAAGCCTCAACAAAAGCATTCTTTAAAGGCTACATATAAACTTGAATGAAGAAATCAGATACAAAATAAAATAATAATTCATTGTTACACTAAAAAAGAGACTATGATGAATATACCATTGCATGTAGGTGATACCAATGCAATTCTTTTCAAGAATTCTCTCCATATCTCCGAAACAGAAAAAAAAAAAAAGTATGTGGAAAACTTGAAAAATGTACATCATGTTGAATGTTAATTTATAGTAGAGTTAGGGAATATAAAAAAGGTAACAAAAAAAGTAATTAATATAAATTGATGTAATTACCTATTTTATCTATACTACTTTAAAAATAAACATGTAGGAGAAATAAAATTTAAAAATCATTATTGTGAAATCAATTCATTAATAATATGGGTGACTATGGTAAGTTGGGTTATTTTGAAATTAATAATAATATGTGATATATGTGGTGGAACATAATTGCATTTCAGTCCCACGATTTTTTTAATGAAAATATTATAATAAAAAAAAAACTCATTAACCAATAAAAAGACACTATTTTGCCACGTAGGTTAGATGAAATTTGAACTTGGGTTTTATTGGCAATTAATATAATATTGTCATAAAATTTAATTAACCCAAATTAAGTGGAATGTCCATTTATATATTTACGTTTTTTAATATGAAGCAATCAATAAAAAAGGAAAATCAATAACCAATAAAAAGACACCATTTTGACACGTAGGAGAGATAAAAAATTAAAAACCAATAATGTGAAATTAATTCATTAGTAATATGGGTGAATATGGTAAGTGGGGTTATTTTGAAATTTATAAAATATTGTGGACTCAATCTCCTCAATTAGAAAACTTTGATTGTGTATCTTAGTTTTATATATAATATAGATTTTATACTAAAGACATGGGAATGGATTTAATTGAGAGACTATTTTTTTTTAGACCAATTTGCATTTAAGTTCTATGTGATGGAACTTTTTGGCCTTCGACCAAAAAATTAATTAAAAATGGGGCTTTTCAAACAATACTTAAAGAAAAAAAAAATCAGGAATTAAAATACAAGAGTTGTTTGTTCTATTCATCTTGAATATGAAAATGCAAAATCGTGTAGGTAATTGCAGAGTCGTGGTTAATCACGATGACACTTTTGATTTATTCGTTACCAACTTAACCATTGTTAGGTTATGATATTAATATTTTAAATTTATAAGTTGACTTAATATATGTCGTTATCATTATCAACATAATTTTATTTTATTTTAACATCAAGTAAGTGATTGTTGGTATTATTAATTAAGTTCGTTAAGCTAATGCTTGAGTCGTGCATGATGATCTTATCAAATTATTCATGGTAATTGTTTAATTAATTAATTAATAATAATAATAATAATAATAATAATAATAATAATAATAATAATAATAATAATAATAATAATAATAATAATTAGGTTCGAATTAGTATAGCATCATAGTCTCACAATCAATCGTTTTTTTGGTGGTGTAGTTTTGTTTTAAATGTTTGTGGCTCTAAAAAGTCATCAAAGGCAACAAAAAAGATTTTTTTTAATCATTTCATTGGTGTTAATTAATCTTCAATTTGTGCAAAAAAAAAAAATCTTCAATTAGTAAAATACTTAAATAAATTTTTTTTTTTTTTCAAATATATTTTATTATTTACATTAATTGATTCGGAATTCAAGTGTCAAATAAAATATATTCAACCTAATTTATTGTATATCTTATTTAATCCTATAAATAATAATTAGTTAAGTACTATATAGAACTAATTTTAAACAATAAATAATTTCCATGGGTCACTTGCAACAACAACTATGTTGGTCGTCTCCTTTTTTTTTTTTTTCTTTTTTTCTTTTTTCCTCTTATTAAAAGAAAAAGATTATTATAATATGAGGGGGTTGATAACATTCTATTTAAATTATTGCAAGTGCAATTATGCATATGGTTGACCAAAGTACAATACAAACTTCTCACAAAGACATGGTCAAACACGTTATCCAATATTGCCTAATAAAGTGAAAATTAAATGAATGAGATCGATTATTGATTTAGTTACGTTCGAATTTCCTTGTCAATAGTTGTTAGGTCGAAATTGTTGAATACGTCTCTTGTGTAATTTGGTAATTATTATACGAATTTAAGTTTACTCAGTTCACTTATATGATAATTAGCTACGTGTTCCTTCATTACCAAACAAAAAACAATAAATACATAAATGAATGAATGAGATTCGAATTAATACTTAGAAACTTAATTGAATTTGCAGTTCCAATCCCATTCCAAAAGATTTCGGGATTTCGGAAATTGGAATAGATTTCTTTTTTCCCCAAATATAAAACTTCCAAAATTTTATTTTTTATTCACCTATAATATAAAATACTGATATTATAAATATACTACTTAGAAAAAAATTGGAATTTTTGGAATACGAAATGAAAATATAATATTCTAAGATCAGAATTACATTATACAGGTAAACTTTTATTAATTAATACAATTGGGACTAGCAAAATTTTATTAATTTAACGAAATATTAAATTATCGAACTAATACTTTAATAGATTTTACCGAGTCGAAACCATATGAAACTATTATTTAAACGAGGCTATTAATTTATCGAGTATTAATTTATTGACGTTCTACTGTAATTTCCACTAATAATGGTGGTTTATTACATTAATACCAAAGGGTATATGTATTGTAACTCTGTTCTTGATCAGCCAAACACGTTTTTCATAGTTTTAGGTAAATGCTAAATTTAATAAACACGTAACACAGAAAAGCAGACAAAATCAAACCAGACTTTTCTGCCAACGCTAATGATTTATTTCTTCTTCCTTGAATTTTCATTTTTTTTTTTAACTGTAATTGCTTGAGATTGTATATATCATTTCCCCACGCCTTCATCATGTATCTCTCTTCTTCTTCTTCTTCTTCGTCTTCTTCTTATCTGTCATTAGCAAAACAATATTGGTATTAGTCTTTTTCTTCTTCTTTTCTCTTCTTCTCTCCTCTTCCGTTCATTTCATGATTTCATCTGAGTTCTGAATCAAATTTGTCAAAGTCCAAAATCCTCAACTTGTGTAAGAAGTCAGAAAACAGGTACATCTCTCTCTCTCTCTCTCTCTCTCTCTCTCTCTCTCTCTCTCTCTCTCTCTCTCTCTCTCTCTCTCTCTCTCTCTCTCTCTCTCTCTCTCTCTCTCTTTTCTTTCTAAATGAAGTTTGACTCTCTCTCTGTTTTAATTAATTGAAAATTTTGTGTCTCCTTCAGAATCAAGAAAAAAGGATATATATAGATACATATCTCAGAGCGTATATACATACATAAGTGATCAATCATGAGCAACCTAAAGCTAGCAGTGGAGGTTGTAAGGGCCCACAACCTCCTACCGAAAGACGGGCAAGGCTCGGCCAACGCCTGCGTCGAGCTCCACTTCGACGATCAGAAATTCCGAACAACCGTTAAGGAAAAAGATCTCGACCCGTTTTGGAACGAAACGTTCTACTTCAACGTATCGAACGCGATCGAGCTTCAAAACCTCACCCTCGAGGCATACGTCTACAACATCAACAACAAGGCCACCAACTCGAAATCGTCCCTCGGAAAAGTCCGTATAACCGGCACCTCCTTCGTACCCTACTCCGATGCCGTCGTTTTCAACTACCCTTTGGAACGAGGTGGCATCTTCTCTCGTTCGAGAGGCGAACTAGGTTTGAAAGTCTATATAATCGACGATCCCCGGATAACTTCTTCCTCGGCGGGGCCGCTTCCGAATATGGTGCCGCCTAATTCTTCTTCGTATTCGAGTTTGCATACGATTGAAGAACAATTGCCTTTGCCTCCTCAACGAGTCGAAGAGGTGATCCCCGATATTTCGGGTAGTAGAGGCAAAAAGGGGTCTCGGAGGACGTTGTATAATGTTTCGAACTCGAATAACGAACAACAACAACAACAACAACAACAGCAGCAGCAGCAACCCCCATTTTCGATGCAATCACATCAAACAATGCAATATGGGATTGATGAAATGAGAGGTGGGCCCCAAGTACCGCCAGGTGTACGCATGTATCCCGGTTCTTCGTCCCAGCCAACAGATTTCATGCTTAAGGAAACGAGCCCTGTTCTTGGAGGGGGTCAAGTTGTCGGGGGCGTGGTCAAACGTTCGGAGAAGAAGAAATCGAGCGTCTATGACCTAGTCGAGCCGATGCAGTTCCTATTTGTTCGGGTCGTGAAAGCTGCCGAACTACCCTCGATGGACCCCATGGGGAGCCTCGACCCCTACGTCGAGGTTCGTCTAGGAAACTACAAAGGGTTCACGCGGCATTTCGAGAAAACCAAGAATCCCGAGTGGAACACGGTGTTCACGTTCTCCAAGGATCGACTGCAGGCGTCGGTTCTCGAGGTCGTGGTTATGGATAAGGACTTGATAAAGGATGACTTTGTCGGGATCGTCAGGTTCGATCTCAACGAGATCCCGATGCGGGTCCCGCCGGATAGTCCGCTGGCTCCTGAGTGGTACCGTCTCGAGGATGAAAAGGGCGAAAAGGTCAAGAAAGGGGAGCTCATGCTTGCGGTTTGGATGGGCACACAAGCCGACGAGGCCTTCTCGGATGCTTGGCACTCGGACACGGCTAGCCCCGTCGACGGTTCGATCCCGTTGGCACACATCCGGTCGAAGGTGTACCACTCTCCGAGATTGTGGTACGTTCGGGTGAACGTGATCGAGGCGCAAGATTTGGTTTTATACGAGAGGAACCGGTTGCCGAACGTGCATGTGAAGGTGCAAATCGGGAGCCAAGTTTGGCGTACGAAGGCCGTGCAGGCGCAGACGGGGAACGCTTGGTGGAATGAGGATATGATGTTCGTTGCCGCGGAGCCGTTCGACGATCATTTAGTACTCTTAGTCGAGGATCGTGTGGGCCCCAACAAAGAAGAGATCCTAGGTAAGGTTTTCGTGCCGTTGGCTACCGTCGAGAGGCGGGCGGACGACCGGATTATCCACTCCAAGTGGTTCAACCTGCAAAAACCGAACACAACGGAAGTTGAGGAGCCGAAGAAGGACAAGTTCTCGAGTAGGGTCCACCTCAGAATCTGCCTCGACGGAGGGTATCATGTTCTCGATGAATCCACGCACTATAGTAGCGATCTTAGGCCCACGGCAAAGCAGCTGTGGAAGCCACCGATTGGCGTGCTCGAGCTAGGTATATTAAACGCGGACGCTCTTACACCGATGAAGACGAGAAACAACAGAGGAACTTCCGACACTTATTGTGTCGCAAAGTACGGTTTGAAATGGGTCCGAACGAGGACGATAACCGACAATTTGAATCCAAAGTACAACGAGCAATACACTTGGGAAGTATTCGACCCGTCCACGGTTCTCACTATCGGCGTCTTCGACAACAGTCTAATCGGCGAGAAGGGCCCCGCCAACGGCAATAACAAAGACGTCAAAATCGGAAAAGTTCGGATCAGAATCTCGACACTCGAAACGGGTAGGGTCTACACGCACTCCTACCCGTTACTAGTCCTCCACCCCTCGGGTCTAAAGAAGATGGGGGAGCTCCATCTGGCGATACGATTCTCTTGCACGTCGATGTTAAACATGATGTCGTTGTACTCGAGGCCGCTCTTGCCCAAAATGCACTATATAAGGCCGTTAAGCGTGGCGCAGCTTGATACGTTGCGCTACCACGCGGTCAACATACTGGCGGCTCGGCTGAGCCGAGCCGAGCCGCCTCTCAGGAAGGAGGTCGTCGAGTACATGACCGATGCTGACTCGCACCTTTGGAGCATGCGAAGGAGCAAGGCGAACTTTTTGAGGCTGATGTCGGTTTTCAACGGAATATTCTCCGTCGGGAAATGGTTCGGTGAGATTTGTGTGTGGAAGAACCCGATCACGACGGTTCTCGTTCACATTCTATTTTCCATGCTGATTTTCGTCCCCGAGTTGATTCTTCCGACCTTGTTTCTCTACATGTTCCTCATCGGAGCTTGGAACCATAGGTTTCGAGCGAAATACCCTCCTCACATGAACATAAGGTTGTCTTGTGCTGACTCAGCGCTGCCCGACGAGATCGACGAGGAGTTCGATACGTTCCCGAGTGGCCGGAGCTTTGACCTGGTCAGAATGAGGTACGATCGGCTCCGGAGCGTGGCTGGCCGGATCCAGACGGTGGTCGGTGATGTGGCGTCGCAGGGGGAGAGGATTCAGGCGGTGCTGAGCTGGCGGGACCCGCGTGCCACCGTGATTTTCATGGCTTTCTGTGTGGTGGCCGCTTTGGTTTTGTATGTTGTGCCGTTGCAGTTGTTGATCGTGGCAGCAGGAGCGTACGGTATGAGGCATCCTAAATTCCGGCACCGGCTGCCGCCCGTGCCCGTGAATTTTTTCCGGCGGCTGCCAGCTAGGACTGATAGCATGCTGTGAGTTTTCTGCAAGTTTGTTGAAAGTACTGTTTTTTTTTTTTTCTTTCCAAGATTTGTTGGGAGTGTACAAAAACTATATGATGTTACTGGATTTTCTATGTTGTTTACAAATAATAACTTTAGCAGAAAAAGCCAATAATTCTTAACAAATATATATGTAAGATTAGTACAACCTATGTCAGGTAAATAAGCAAAACATACTAAGAAAAAAAATAAAAAAATCCAATGTAGTTTTTCATCCAGATATTACTGGAAATAACTGTCGAAAAAGTCGAATAAACTATCAATTAGGCTTAAACATTAGCCGAAGAAACTAAATTCCCAAACGCACGATCCGCTGAATTTTCCTCGTCTTTCCCATCGTTAATTTTCGTCTTTGACACACGAGGCAACAAGCTCGCCACAATTACCTGGATTAAAAAAACAAGTATAATAAATAACAATGTCTGGAGCCAAACGAAACATAATGTAATAAGCATTTTTCTCGTGTAATAAGACGAATAAACTGTCGGAACATTTAAAAGATATACCTGAACAGGGCTAGCAGCAATCATAGCACCCTCAACTACACCACCTATGGCTAGCCCATCGGGACCCGCAAGAGTAAGATTCAGACGACCAACCGGCCCGTTTGAAGCATTGAAATCTTCGTTTGAAAACGAACCCGATAAGCTCAATATATCAAACCGCCCCTACAAAACACACACACACACACACACACACACACACACACTTAGTGAAAAAAGACAATTCATTCAAAATATTTATCAACTTCAGTTGAGAAAAATAATCATGTTTCTTGTTTGCTAATTCAAGAATATCAAACAGCAAGAGTGTGTGTGTGTGTATTATATATATACCTCGTGTGTGATTGTCCCACTAGAAAATGAGACTCTCATATTCACGGCCGAAATGGCACCAATAGCCGATAAGACGACTGTGGCGGGCCGCCCTTGAGAAAATGTTAGTATCTTCCTTTTGACATCCTGCATAAAAAAAAATTATAAAAAAATTCATAAAAGTATATATATATATATATATATATATATATATATATATATATATATATATATATATATATATATATATATATATATATATATATATATATATATATATATATAAGGATGTCTTTATGTGCATATGATTATTTAGAAATAGTTGATTGTATTTCCAATACATATATATTGAACTCGTATTTCGCCTATTGATATTCTTAATCTTAATGACTTAACATCACCAAAGCCTCGTAGCGAATTTATTGATTTTGAGAAAGATCACAAAATCAATCTTACGGGAAATGTCGTAATTAAACAATATGCATTGAAATTTGAAAGAAATGAAAAGTACTTAGTTACTAGATTGCACTTACTTCTCCCGTAGCAACATTGATGATATGTGGAACCATTTTTCCGGGCCCGTTAGGGACCGATCCTCCACCTGACCAAAAAAAAAAAAAAAATCAACGAAATTTATCAGAAGCAACATTAACAAATCTCATATTACAATAAGATGTATGTCCGAATGCCAAGTCGAGAAACGGTAAATTGTTATATATATATTAAAACAATGAGCATTTATAGACCGACTAAATCTCGTATCCGACATTTGATACTTATATATATTCAATGGTTCGAAACATGCCTCTCCTCAGATTTATATCTTGAAAAAAAAAATGCAATTGATTATTATTTCAAAAGAAAATATTTGAATTCCTATTAAAGTATATCGAGTAGCAACGTAGACGAATCTAAACGCATTATTTTTCCATTCACATGTAAGATTCGGAAACAACCTGGAGATAATTCTTCACTTTCAATGAGTGCCCTGTGCATTTTTGCCACTAGCTCGATATTTGGTTGTGAACCCATCGAGAGAGAGAGAGAGAGAGAGAGAGAGAGAGAGAGAGAGAGAGAGAGAGAGAGAGAGAGAGAGAGAGAGAGAGAGAGAGAGAGAGACTTCTAGAGAGAGGGAAGAGAGAAGTACAGGAACAACCATCTTTACATTTAAAGAAAGAGAGATATAAGGTCTCAAGTGACGTGGTTTAATGAGGTGTCGGTATGTCATTCGTCCATTTATGCTAACATAACCGAGCTTTTATTACAGAGAAGGGCAGGACGGGGTGAGTCAGCAGCTGAGTGGCTCAAGTGACGTGTCTGCAACGTAACTTTCTAACAAACGCCACTTGTCATACACTATGTTACATACAAACCTATATGTGTTCATAAACCTATATGTGTTCATATAAAGACATACTCGATGCAATTTCCTAAAAAGATATTACATTGCATTGCATGCATTTGCTTCACTGTTAAGTTTCTCGTCATTGAATTATCTACGAATTAATTGCTCGACTCCGTAGCCCATTCTATGTGTACGTTTCTTGACAGTCGATAAGTTCCGGTTATGGAAAGTGCCCTTCTTTCCATCATGGATTATTTCCGTTACCAACTTGATTACACCTAATAAATTGCACGTGATCCAACGAACATTTTGCTAAATATCGAACGAGCTAATTTTATCAGAAGCTATACACTTTCACAAGTCCTATTTTGCTAATTTTCCTCGTACGAAAGTAGTGGACTTGATGAACATAACTCACTCGAGAATATACAATCGTATACATAAACATAAAAAAACAGAATCGATTTTCTTGACTAAAAAAAAAATTCAGAAAATTTACCGAGGGAAACAAGTTGCTGCTTTCGACCAGTGCCAGGTGGCCTTCCCCTCCTTTTCTGAGACGGTCTCAAAATCGGGACATGGCTCGAAGTGGAAGGCGACAGAGCCAACGAAACAGCTGCAGCAGAAGTACCTCTTCCGTATTTACGGGGCCTGCCTCTTTTCCTTCGAACGGGTTCGCCCTGCAGCATAGCGGGAGGCGGGCCCACACTAATAGCTTGAGGTGACATCATCGACGAGGCGTGCAGAGGCAATGTGGACCCCATTAGAGCTCCGTCGAGGTTGGATTGAAAGTGTTGATTCGAAAACGGATTCATTCTCGGCGAACTCTGTAAGCCCATTACGGATTCGGTTGTTTCTTGATGAAGGTAATACGGAGACGCGCCTTGTCGGTTCATAGCATCTCTTTGATCCATGGCGAGGGTGCAGTCTCGAATCGAGTCGCCGAAAATATTTAAAAATTACGAATAATCGGACAATTATTCGTTGGGCAAAAGTTGGTGATTAGGCATGTAAAACTTCAAGCATTCCTATACACGAACTGTACTTACAAAATAAGCAAAATCAAGACAACAGAAGAAAACTGAAATGTATGTTATTTACAAGTTTACTAAAGGGTTTTTAATTAGAGATAAAAACACACAATTCTATCTCACTCTAACCAAACAGTCCCTTAAATTGGTAAGCACAAAACCCTTCAAAAATGGGGGGGAAAATCACAAGCCCAGATCAAAAAAGGAAAGCAAACCCATGCAAGAAATTGCAAGTGGTGATTCTTCAAGGTAGCACCGCCTCAGAGGAATAAGCCGTTGATTGACTCAGCGCCGCCGCCGCCGCCGCCACCACAACGGTGGTGGATGAATTCATTCGTATCGGAGAGGTAGTGCATTTTATTGATTTCCATAAAAAAGCTTCCTTTCTCTCTCCCTTCTCTCTCTCTTCACTGTTTTCTCTCTCTAGAATTTTGGGTTTGTGTTTGCTGTGGGTGGTGTGTGATGAGGTGATAGAGCGAGGAGTGATGCGGGGTTGTAGAGAGAGATTGAAGAGAGAGAGAGAGAGAGAGAGAGAGAGGGAAAATCTTGATTAGGACAAAAGCAGAATTGAGCGCTTGGTGGATAATTCTCATCTTTATAGACGACTCAGATTTGGTTTCAATGTGATATGTCAAAGGTTAACACCCACCCGCAGGTCACTTTAAAGAGAGAAAAGGAGTCCGAGCGCGTGGGGTTAATTAAGGGACAAAAAAGGTTGAAGAACAAAATTAAATAAATAAAAAAAGGGACAAGTACAGATAAATCCCCAACTCAAAAACAAACATACGGGTCAGTCACCAGTAATGTTTTACTAGCGGGTCAGTCCCTACAGCAAACATAAACATGCAGTTCAGTCTCTGACCCCACTTTTTTTCACTTTATACACTCTCTCTCCTCTCTCCTCTCTCCTCTTTCTTCTATTTCTTCTACACTCTCTCTCCTCTCTCCTTTTTCTTCCATTTTTTCTCTTCTGTTTCTCTCTCCTCTTCCTTTCCTCATATTCTCTGTTACTACTTTTTGTTTTCCGACCGCGAAAAAAAACTGAAATTTCCCACAATGGCAGCAAATGGTGAATCAAAACCCATCGCCGCTGGTATTATTGGAAGTTGTCGGTACAGTGATTATCTGCACATCATTTCCATTAAGAATGATTCGACTTTAAAGGAGATCTATGAATCTATCTTAGTGAAGTGGAACGATATACATCCCGACAAATTAGTGCTCCAATACTTGGCTCCCCGTGAAAGAATATTTGTCAGACTGACTTCTGACGAAGACGTGGTGAATATGGTTACATTGCATTTGGTAATGCACATGAGTGTGGTCGACATTATGGTGAGCCGCACTGATGAACTTGATGGGCGTAGAAGGAGGACCCCCAGCAACGGGTATGCAGCCATTCTGTTTTGTATGCATTTTCAATTTGTTTATGTGATCATAGCATAGAATATAATACTACATAGTATCGTGTTACTACAGTGATAGTGTAGAATAACTAAGCTCGTAGTATCATATAAGGCTACTAATAGTATGGAATGATTGTATATCAAGTATCTTATAAATTGAGTTCTCGTATGCAAGCATTCCACTCAAAGGACTTATTTCAATTGTTACAATTTATTTGTAGTCCACTGTAATAATCCAATTTGTTTGATTGTTTTTGCATTTTCCAGTGAGTCTGTTAGTTCCAACAGTCCGTTGCAAATTGAGTACAATCCGGTTGGAGATTCAATTGATACATGGAGACATTGCATACGCGGGGAGAATCAAATTTTCAAAGATGCTAATGATTTTAGGTTTATGTTAAAAAATTACTGCATTGCTAACAATCGAACCTTTAAGTACAAGAAAAATGATCAACAAAAGATCATAGCCGTATGCATTGTTGAAAATTGCAAATGGAGGGTTTATGCATCAGTTCATAAATCAGACAAGTTATTCGGCATTCGCAAATGTATTCTTGAGCACAGTTGTGGTGATGCTACTCTTCGTACAAGGGGTCATCCCAAAGCCGATGCTACGTGGATTTCGCAACTTATGAAACAAAAATTGAGAGATGAGCCAGGTTACAAACCAATTGCTATTTTGAATGAGGTCCAAAGAAAGTACGGTGTGGAGCTTAAGTACTATACGGCATGGAGAGGTAAGGAGAAATCAATGTATGACATTCATGGGGATGAGTCGAGTTGTTATGATAAACTGAGACGTTATTGTCGTGCACTAAAACAGAATAACCCTGGTAGTTGTGCCGATTATGAGATTGACCCTCAAACTCAAAAGTTTCTTCGGATTTTTATTAGTTTTGGAAATTCTATTTTGGGTTTCCACCGTGGGTGTAGGCAAATGATATGTTTGGATGGGACTCATATTAAAAATAAGTACAAAGGTTGCTTACTTTCTGCTGTGTCCAAAGATCCAAATGATGAGTTATACACATTGGCCTATGCAATTGTTGATGCCGAGAATGATAGGAATTGGGAGTGGTTTTGTAATAAGCTGAAAGAGATTCTTGTTTATCACAATGGGGGTTTATTGAAAAATTACACAATTTTCTCTGATCGTCATTCGGGCTTATTAAAGCCATTCCACTGGTATTTCCTGGTAGCAACCATGCTTATTGTTTGCGACATTTGGAGGATAACTTTAGAACAAAGGTTCTAAGATCGTATCCATTGCACAACAAAGCATATTGGGTGAGTGTTCTACATAAGGCTGCAATTGCTCCTACTCGGCAAGAGTTTGAGGAACATATATCTCATTTAGTTCAATCAATGCCTCGTGCGGAATCATTTATCCGAGACTCTGATCCCAATCGTTGGGCCAATGCATACTTTTCTGGGGATAGATGGGGAATAATGAACAGTAACCAAGTTGAATGTTGGAATGGTTGGGTTAAAGATGAACGATCTTTGCTAGTTCCATCCATGATTGATATGATACGAATCAAAATAATGAAGATGATAGGTAATCGACGGGAAGATTCTTTAGTCATGGCTGGTACAGTGTGTCCAAGAGTTGAAAAGAGATTATTTAATCAACTATACGGCCTCTCGCTTATTAAAATATACAGATCCAGTGGTACGCGTTATGAGGTGTATGAAGAGGATAAGTCGTATGGTGTTGATTTAGAGACTAGGACCTGTACTTGCAAATCTTGGCAGTTGGATAAACTTCCGGGCAAACAGGCATGTGCAGGTATTGAGTCGAAAGGATATTCGGTATTTGAATTTGTTGATCCTTGCTTCCGGGTTGATTTGTACAAAGAAGTATACAAGTACACAATTAATCCAATTCCTTCATTTGATGAGGAATTTGATTTGTACAATGCACAAACAAATCATGGCCCGGAAGATGTATTTATTAATCCACCTGCATCGAAAGCTCAACCAGGCCATAGAAGGACGAAAAGAATTCCATCGCAAGTCGAAACCCGTGTTACGAAGTGTGCACGGTGTGGTAAACCTGGACATAATCGCCGTACGTGCAAACAACCAGTCCCGTAGCACTACTCTGTTTCTACTTTCTTTTTATGTTGTTTGTACTTTGTTGACATGTACTTCGTACTATTTATCCATTTGTATGTACCATGATATGACTGTTTTAGTTACAATAGAGCGCACTGTTTTAGTTACAATAGTATTGTTGTTACGTTGATATGGTATAACGTACAACATAATATGGTTCACAGAAGAATAATAAGTGAATCGATTTGAATTTTATGACCGTTACAATAATATAGCCGTTATTTTTGTCGTCAGAACTTATAAAAAGCACGTCATTATGTTCATTTGCTTCTCATTCATGGCTTCTTCCAGTAGCAACTCTCAAAAGAGTAGCTTAAAATATAAAAAAGATAACTGCAAGCGTCGTGATTGTGGGAAAAAAACCATAATCATGGTTTCGGAGACAAGTTTGAATCCAGGGAGGCTATTTTATTGTTGCCCAGACCATGGCTATTCTCATTGGTGTGAGCCATTTGAAATTGGGCAAACTTTCTCCCACAACTATTCTCGATATGAAGAAAGTGAAGCTACGAGTGGATCGACGAACCAAGTTCATCGCGAAAGTAAAGTGAAGAATTCCAGAGATGAAGCGGGAGTAATTCAAAGTTTGATAGTGTTAAACCTAGTAATATTTGCAGTTTACATGATTTGTCAAACCTATGTATTGTTTCTTAACTAATCACCGTAACAATACAAGTTAAAAGTTAGTGTTGTGTATTGTAGCTCGTTAATCGTATTGTAATGTCAATGTGTAAGTACTTTGGGTACTTACAAATAAATTAACTCTATCGATGAATCAATTGTTGTTGTTCGTAAGAAATGTACTCATACAATATAGTGATAGTTATTGTTCTTCAACTGTTCTGTATATCATATTCACAACTCACGCATGGATCGTACAATATCCTACGTATTATAGTTCCCACGATAT